CCGGCGGGGCACCGGCTGCGCCAAGTGCGGATGGGCCCCAGGGTCCCAGGACTGCCAGATGCTTGGAGAGGCCCGTGGTGGCCCAATTGAAGGACATGGGTGACATAGACGGGTTCCTCAGCTCCTTTGAGAGGGCCTGTGGGCTGCAACGGGTTCCCCCAGCTGACTGGCTGCAGGAGCTCATCCCCGCACTGAGCCAGGAGGCGGCCGGAGTGCTCAGTCAGCTGGAGGACCTACAGCCAGGGGATTACAACCGAGTCAAGGAGGCCCTGCTGCACAAGTTCGGGCTGACCCCCGAGATGTACAGGAAGAAGTTCCAGGGGGTACAGAAAGGGCCACGGGAGACCTATGTGGATCTGGCCTCCCGCCTGTCACAATACGGCCGCAAGTGGGTGTCTGGAGTCGGAGCCCAGACCGCAGAGGAGCTGCTCAAGCTGGTCCTGATGGAGCAGTTCTATGAAGCGTGCCCACCCAAACTGAGGCTGTGGCTCAAGGACCAGATAGTGACTCATCGCTTGCCTGCTGTGGAACTACAGACAGCAGCCAGAGAGTTAGCAGGTTACCCCCCACTACGTCACAGCTACACCCTACTCCTCCCCTGTAGTACTACAGACAACTCTTGTCCCTACAGCCTCTACCCAAGACAACCTGCCTGCACCCAAGCACACAAGGGAAGGCCCATCTGGAACAATGTCCACAATCCTGAGGTCACCAAGTTCTTACCTTTGGGGGGCTGCAGTGTGTGCCCCGTCTCCTCAGCCCAGCCGGCAGGGTGAATGTTGGGGGAGTCAGCATTCAGCCAGAAATCATGGCATTCAGAGTAGCCGTCAAAGTGCAGGCGCATCCGGTAGCCACACACCTGCAGCAAGGAGGGAAGGGAAGTGGAGGATGAGAAGGCCCACAGCTGCACTGCCCCGTGTGTGCTTTCGTCCCCTCAAGCAACGTGCTTAAGAAGCCTGTCCAGCAGCCCACGCACAAGCACTGCAAGAGCCCATCACTTACCTCCTTGATCGCTTGCTGAGGAGGCGGGAGAGCCATATTAACACGCAGGTGGCAGGTATCAGGGAAATGCATTTGAAGTCTGGTAGATCTGTGCATTTAACATGGGAACAGGGCAAGCCCTGAGCCACTGGCCCCAGTACCTCTACTCTCAGCAACAGCCACTGAAAGGTTCCGACTTTACTGCCGGCCTAGCACACCAGGGCACAGGGTGAAACGGGCACAGTCAGCCCTGGTGTGGATCCAGGATTATAAGATCCCACAGTGGCAAATTCTCCCCTCTCTTTCTCCCAAGTGCTTTGCAAGGGGTTGCTGGCCTTGCAAAAATATCACCAGCAGCAAGAAACTAACAAAATGGCTGCTTTGTGGAGTTTCTCACTTGGAAGTATGATTGAGGGCCAGCCAACCTCGGGTTGACCTGATGGCCTAACAGGGTGACCTGTGAGTGGTCTGCTGGGTGCTTACCACACAGCATTTCCTCTCTCCTCCTGGAGTCCCCTCCCACAGCCTGGCTGTGAGCACAGGCAGGGAAAGGGCAGCGGAGGAGCTGGGAAAGGCAGGCAGGGGCTATCGGCCCAAAGCTGTGCCTGCGCAGGCAGACACGGAATGGCAGCGCCCTGCAGACCATCAGAGGAGAGAGGGTCTGGAAAAGTCTCCACGTGGGAGGAGTGGGGCAAACCACCCAGCTAGTGCCAAGTTGGAACTTCAGAAGTTCATCGACAGGCTCATGTGACTGGGCTCCCTGCAATAGCAGGAGACTGGATTTGATGACCCAGAAGGCCCTTCCAGGCCCACATCTTACCTCAGCTACAGTCAGGATGAAGTACATTGAAGGGTGCTGGGGGTCAATCCCCTCCAGTTTCATCCCCACCTTGAAGCCGTTCCTGTGCTGGGAGACTGCTTGGTACTGAAAATCAGAGAGAAACAGACCTGCTCCAATCACCCATCACAGCCCATCGGGTGCAGAGTCCTGGGCTTGCCCCAGGGGGGCTTGGGGTATCAAAGCCATTCTCTGTTTCCCACGGTTTGCTTCTCTCATTGCCAGCAGGGCAGGAATAGGGATGTTAAAATGTGTTTACATAAGTAACCGTGTAACAGCTGGAAAATCCAGCAGTTACTCAATTACGCACAGTGGTAGTTGGCTCCCGGAAGCCAGTGCATGTGAGGAACCGACTTTTAAGCTGGTTCCCTGTGCATGCCTCTGGTATCAGAGGTAGGAGTAACGGGGACAGGTGGGACCTGGTATGTGTGGGGAGCTGCCTTAAAAACTGGCTCCCCACGCGTACCGGGAGCCTGCGTGTAACCGTGATAAGTTAACCCACAAGCCAGACTCATCGGTTAACTGTGCACACGGCTACATGTTCACGTCCCGAGACAGGAAACACCACAGCACTGGTTTGCCTCGCACACTCGCCTCAGGGCCCTGTAGGCACAAGGGTATAAGCCGAGGGCTCATCTCTTGCTCGGACAAGTGCAGGAGAGAGGGAATTAGACTCACATTTTCCCAGCCAGTGGGCAGCTGACATTTTAGATAGTTCACAAAGGTTGGGGTGGGACCAGGGCCAACACTGTAAAGGGCACGGGCTGAGCAACTAGACTTGGGGGAGGAAGGGCAAAGGTCAAAGAGGGAGAACCAGGGCAAAGCTGGAGCGCGGGAGAGGAAGAGAGTTGGCTGGTTACCCCAGGGCGAAGGAACGAGATAGAGAGGAGAGGAGGAGAGAGAAGGGGAAAGGCAGGAGAAGAGGAAGAAACAGAAAGGAAAATCCCAACTCACTTCCTGGAACAGATTTAAAGGGGCAGCGACGGCTTTCTGCTCCTCCAGGTACGATGCCCAGGACCAACCTTCTTTCTTCTCCTCGCTGGAACCTGACCTCGGCACAAACACACACACGAGTGACTCAGACGCTGCTGCAGATCTGGTTCGTTTCCTATGGAACTAGTCCTTGAGCTGGTCCAGGCAAGCAAAAAGCCAGACCAGCTCCCTCCCCCACCCCACACCTCACTTAGGGTCCCTCACCAGCCCCCAAACACTTTTGGAGATGGGGAAAGGCACAGGTGGGCCTGTCCACTGAGTGATGCACATTGACAAGAAGGGGCAAATCCTGCTCCCATCCCCAGTGACCTCAGGCACTGCCCTGCAGGCGTGACATTGGGCCAAAGCCTCATCTGTCCATCTGGATGGCTGTTGAGCTGGAAGGGTGAGATGAAAAGACATCTCTCATGCAGACCAGACCAGGCCAGTATTCTCTCTATCCTTTTACAAGGTGCGAGTCCTGCAATAAAAGAATCATACTGAATACAGCACAGACAACGCTGAGGGGAACCCAGAAACATAAGAGTGGCCAGACTGGGTCAAACCAAAGGTCCATCTAGCCCCGTATCCTGTCTTCTGATAGTGGCAAGTGCCAGGTGTCCAAGAGGGAATGAACAAAACAGGTTCAAGCGAGCCACCCCTTTTGGCCCATTCCCGGCTTCTGTCAAACAGAAGCTACAGACACCATTCCTGCCCACCCTGGCTCATAGCCACTGATGGACCGAATCTCCATTAATCTAGCTCTTTTTTGAACCCCTGTTATGGTTCAGAAAGTCTTGGTCTTCACAACAGCCTCTGGCAAGGAGTTCCACAGGCTGTGTGAAAAAGTACTTCCTTTTGTTTTAAATCTGCTACCTATTAATTTCATTTGATGACCCTTAGTTCTTGTGTTATGGGAAGGAGGTAAATAACTCTTCTTTGTTCACTTCCGCTATACCAGTTATGATTTTATAAACTGACATCATAGCCCCCTTATTTGTCTCTTTTTCCAAGCTGAAAAGAGCCAGTTTTACTAATCTCTCCTCATGTGACAGCCATTCCACACCCCTAATCATTTTTGTTGCCCTTTTCTGAACCTTTTCCAATGCCAGTATATCTTTTTTGAGATGGGATGACCACATCTGAACAGTTTTCAAGATGCAGGCATACCATGGATTAATATAGAGATAATAAGATACTCTCTATTTTATTAGCGCTTTCTTAATGATTCCCAACATTGTTTGATTTTTGACTGCCGCTGCACATTGAGTGGATGTTTTCAGAGAACTATCTACAATGACTCCAAGATCTCTCTCTTGAATGATAACAGCTAATTTAGTCCCCATCATTTTATATGTATAGTTGGGATTATGTTTTCCAATATGCATTACACTGCATTTATCAGCAATGAATTTCATCCATCATTTTGTTGCCCAGTCACCACATTTTGTGAGATTCTTTTGAAGGTCTTTAGTCAGCTTTGGACTAATGATCTTGAGCAATTTTATATCATCTGCAAATTTTGTCCTCTCACTGATTACCTCCTTCACCAGATAATTTATGAATATATTGAATAGGACTGGTCCCAGTATAGACCTCTGGGGCATACCACTAGTTGCCTTTCTCCATTCTGAAAACTGACCATTTTGTTTCCTATCTTATCAGTCCATGAAAGGACTTTCCCTCTTATCTGATGACAACTTACTTTTCTCAAGAGCCTTTGATAAGGGATCTTGTCAAAGGCTTTCTGGAAATCAAACTACACTCTATCCTCTGTTGACATGCTTGTTGACCCCCCTCAAAAAAATTCGAGTAGATTAGTGAGGCATGATTTTCCTTTACAAAACCATGTTGACTCTTCCCCAATAAATTATACTCATCTATGTGTCTGACAATTCTGTTCTTTACTATCGTTTCAATCAGTTTACCCAGTACTGGAGTTAGACTTACCAGCCTGCAATTGCCAGGATCACCTCTAGAGCCCTTTTTAAAAATCTCTGTCACATTAGCTATCCTCTGGTCATTTGGTACAGAAACCGATTTAAAGGACAGGTTACAAACCACAATTAGTAGTTCTGCAATTTCATATTTAAGTTCCTTCAGGATGAATGCCATCTGCTCCTGGTGACTTGTTAATGTTTAGTTTATCCATTTGTTCCAAAATCTCCCTACTGACACCTCAGTCTGGTATCATGAGCACATCCGATGAAGTGGGGTTTGCCCATGAAAGCTCATGAGAGACTAACAAAATATGTTTCTAGTATCAGGTGCCACAAGACTACCCATTTTTAAAGTTACGGACTAACGCAGCTACCCCACTGAGACCTCAGTCTGGAACAGTTCCTCAGATTTGTCACCTAAAAAGAATCCCCAAACCAGCCAGAGAGAGGCCAGTTTGTGTTAGCACAGGGGCTATCCAACTGGTTAGGGTGTATTGGTGCACGTCTCAGATGTTTTTCTGACCCCTGTTGCCATCAGACCTGAGCGCTTCACAATCTTTGCTACATTAGAGACCTCGGGGAGGAAGGCAAGTGCTGCTAGCCCATTGCACAGAGAGGCTAATTGGCTTGCTCAAGTTCACAGGCAGTCCAAGGTACAGCCAGACTTGAACTTAGGTCTCCCTGCACTGTACCCTAAGCCCTGCGCATCCATCCTCTCCTCACGCAGGGAGATCTCTGGGAGGAAAGGAGCTATGGGAGCTCCAATTTTAATGCTACCTATAGATGTAGTCAGAGACTGGACACCGGACCAGATGGACTTTGGGTCTGAGCAAGTCTGGCAGTTCCTATGGTTAATCATCCATCACTTCATCAGGGGATTCCCATAGCATCACGAGTTACAGGAATGTCCCAGTCCCAGACACTGTCACCTGGATCCTGAGCAGGGCACTACAGCTGACTTACCCGCCGGCAGTCTAAACCCGCCAAAGGTCCATCTAGCCCCGTATCCTGTCTTCTGATAGTGGCAAGTGCCAGGTGTCCAAGAGGGAATGAACAAAACAGGTTCAAGCGAGCCACCCCTTTTGGCCCATTCCCGGCTTCTGTCAAACAGAAGCTACAGACACCATTCCTGCCCACCCTGGCTCATAGCCACTGATGGACCGAATCTCCATTAATCTAGCTCTTTTTTGAACCCCTGTTATGGTTCAGAAAGTCTTGGTCTTCACAACAGCCTCTGGCAAGGAGTTCCACAGGCTGTGTGAAAAAGTACTTCCTTTTGTTTTAAATCTGCTACCTATTAATTTCATTTGATGACCCTTAGTTCTTGTGTTATGGGAAGGAGGTAAATAACTCTTCTTTGTTCACTTCCGCTATACCAGTTATGATTTTATAAACTGACATCATAGCCCCCTTATTTGTCTCTTTTTCCAAGCTGAAAAGAGCCAGTTTTACTAATCTCTCCTCATGTGACAGCCATTCCACACCCCTAATCATTTTTGTTGCCCTTTTCTGAACCTTTTCCAATGCCAGTATATCTTTTTTGAGATGGGATGACCACATCTGAACAGTTTTCAAGATGCAGGCATACCATGGATTAATATAGAGATAATAAGATACTCTCTATTTTATTAGCGCTTTCTTAATGATTCCCAACATTGTTTGATTTTTGACTGCCGCTGCACATTGAGTGGATGTTTTCAGAGAACTATCTACAATGACTCCAAGATCTCTCTCTTGAATGATAACAGCTAATTTAGTCCCCATCATTTTATATGTATAGTTGGGATTATGTTTTCCAATATGCATTACACTGCATTTATCAGCAATGAATTTCATCCATCATTTTGTTGCCCAGTCACCACATTTTGTGAGATTCTTTTGAAGGTCTTTAGTCAGCTTTGGACTAATGATCTTGAGCAATTTTATATCATCTGCAAATTTTGTCCTCTCACTGATTACCTCCTTCACCAGATAATTTATGAATATATTGAATAGGACTGGTCCCAGTATAGACCTCTGGGGCATACCACTAGTTGCCTTTCTCCATTCTGAAAACTGACCATTTTGTTTCCTATCTTATCAGTCCATGAAAGGACTTTCCCTCTTATCTGATGACAACTTACTTTTCTCAAGAGCCTTTGATAAGGGATCTTGTCAAAGGCTTTCTGGAAATCAAACTACACTCTATCCTCTGTTGACATGCTTGTTGACCCCCCTCAAAAAAATTCGAGTAGATTAGTGAGGCATGATTTTCCTTTACAAAACCATGTTGACTCTTCCCCAATAAATTATACTCATCTATGTGTCTGACAATTCTGTTCTTTACTATCGTTTCAATCAGTTTACCCAGTACTGGAGTTAGACTTACCAGCCTGCAATTGCCAGGATCACCTCTAGAGCCCTTTTTAAAAATCTCTGTCACATTAGCTATCCTCTGGTCATTTGGTACAGAAACCGATTTAAAGGACAGGTTACAAACCACAATTAGTAGTTCTGCAATTTCATATTTAAGTTCCTTCAGGATGAATGCCATCTGCTCCTGGTGACTTGTTAATGTTTAGTTTATCCATTTGTTCCAAAATCTCCCTACTGACACCTCAGTCTGGTATCATGAGCACATCCGATGAAGTGGGGTTTGCCCATGAAAGCTCATGAGAGACTAACAAAATATGTTTCTAGTATCAGGTGCCACAAGACTACCCATTTTTAAAGTTACGGACTAACGCAGCTACCCCACTGAGACCTCAGTCTGGAACAGTTCCTCAGATTTGTCACCTAAAAAGAATCCCCAAACCAGCCAGAGAGAGGCCAGTTTGTGTTAGCACAGGGGCTATCCAACTGGTTAGGGTGTATTGGTGCACGTCTCAGATGTTTTTCTGACCCCTGTTGCCATCAGACCTGAGCGCTTCACAATCTTTGCTACATTAGAGACCTCGGGGAGGAAGGCAAGTGCTGCTAGCCCATTGCACAGAGAGGCTAATTGGCTTGCTCAAGTTCACAGGCAGTCCAAGGTACAGCCAGACTTGAACTTAGGTCTCCCTGCACTGTACCCTAAGCCCTGCGCATCCATCCTCTCCTCACGCAGGGAGATCTCTGGGAGGAAAGGAGCTATGGGAGCTCCAATTTTAATGCTACCTATAGATGTAGTCAGAGACTGGACACCGGACCAGATGGACTTTGGGTCTGAGCAAGTCTGGCAGTTCCTATGGTTAATCATCCATCACTTCATCAGGGGATTCCCATAGCATCACGAGTTACAGGAATGTCCCAGTCCCAGACACTGTCACCTGGATCCTGAGCAGGGCACTACAGCTGACTTACCCGCCGGCAGTCTAAACCCGTAGCTACACCAGAGACTGCTCTGCCCCCCCCCCTTACCGTGCTGGTTCGTGCTCCACTCCTCAGTCTCCGTGTTGATGATGATGGAGTCTCCCCCCAAGCTCTTTCTCTCTTCCGGCTTCTCCTCCTAACCATGAGAGTGCAGAGTCAGTCACTCACCACCTTTGGGATGTCTCAGACCTTCTCTGATTATGATGGTGCTCAGGAAGGATCTGTCCAAGAGGATCTGACTTATAAGCAGACTGAAGCTGTCGGGAAGGGGGGAGGGATTTGGGAGCGGGTTCGAAACAACCTCCCTAAAGACGGATTTATTGTGGGCAATGCCGCCTTATTTTTCGGTCAGTTAGTGCTTTCTGCCCCAGAACACAGCATCTGGATCACAGAAGCAGATGCCCTCTGCAGCGGTTTCTGCATGATCCGAGCTGATGAGGCCAAGGGTTCTCATGGCACTTAGCGGTGGGGGGCTGAAGTGTTTAGCAGACCCATAATCAGGGCTCAGTTTTCAGAAGTGCTCAGCACCCAATGTGCACAGTAAGCCAAGTCCCTTAAAAACCTGGCCCATGATAGCTAGAGGACTCGAGGGTCAGTCCCTATAGTCGTCCACTCCTTCCTCTCTTCCTTTTGGAATTCAGTTGCCAGTTTCTGATTAATAGCACTATGTCAACACATGCCCAACACTTACAAATAAAAAGAGAACGCATGCACATGCACACACACAGAAAATGGCTGGGCACCCCAACCCACGTATCTGTGTGAGATCGTGGCACCTCCAGGCCTTCCATCTCCCCTACCATTTGCTCCGATTCATATTCCTCCTCCTCTGAAGGGCTCTGGTAATCCTTTCTTTTCCGTTTTTTCACCGGCTTGAGGATTTCGGTGGCATTCGTGCTGCCAGCAGAGTTCTCCACTATGACAGACCTGTAAGGGAGAAGGGACCATGACGCCCAGCAGCAGAAAGGAGAAATGCTGCGTGCTAGCAAGCGATGATGTCAGCAAACCTGGCTCTTAGGAACCTGGGAATGAGACAGGTTGTACGGACAGCACCAGTCTGAGAACCTTTTCAATCTCTCTTGCCCAGCTCAGTGTCTATACACACGCAGACACACGCATGCACACACCCGGCTCTTTGTGATTAAAATGAGCCATCTGCCAGGAGCATATATCATATTTCATATGTCCTCGTGGGATGAAAATTAAGAGATAAACCTGAATCAAACCCTGGATGCAAGAATATTGGGGTGTCTGAAATCCAAATCTGAATCTCGATCCGAAGAGATTGATCTTTATAACAGACTGGACCAAATGTCTGGATCCCAGCCACCCAGAAGGATGGGGCACTAAACCCAGACTGACACATGGTGGCCTGTCCTCATCTGTGAGCCGGGAAATCAGATGAGGGAAAATGGGTCCTTCGGAGACCAAGCTGAGGAAGTGTCCCCTGGGAAAGCTTCTCATGGTGCCAGGCGCAGCCCACTCCTGTACTGACCAGGGACAGTCTGAATGTAAGTTTGGCCCCCCTGAAATCAACAGCCACCCCCGCCTGCAGTGGGCTCAGGGGAGCTGAGCTCGCAGGTAGAATAACCTGCCCTCAGGAATGAGAGGGGTGCCCCAGCCCCCACACACGCCCATTTCCCCCTCTCCTCTAGAGGGCAAAGGCTGCTCAGAGGAAGGCAGGATTTGGCTGGAGTGTTCCCCTCGAAGGTGCCCCACCCAAAGCAGCGTCGCCTTTACCTTTCCTTGAACTGCCGGTGGCAGTGTTCACTGCAGAATCCCCCGCCCTCCCGGGCCCCCTCCGACACATGTCTCCGGCCGCAGGTACCGCAATGGCACGTGCTCTCTGCTGTTGGCAGCAGGGGCTGCTCGGGCACATCTGTGTCAGAGCGAAAGAGACGTGAACTTCAAGGAGCGAGAGCCGCTGGGGAAGGAGAGCAGCACAGATCACCAGCCCCCCACATGGCTTGGGGTGGCGATGGGCACTGTGCACACACCCTGGAGAAACAGAAGCTTTCTTCCCGCCCACTCTGGGGCAGGATCGAGGGGCACTTTGGAAGCAGGTTTCCAGAGCCAGCATACAGCCGACTGCTGAGCTGAACTTGAACAGGATGGACCCTCTCGCTTCATGCAGTACAGAGCGGGAGAGAGCCTCGTGGCAACTCTGCCTGAAAATGATGCACTGGTCCCAGCTGGCCACAGGGGTTTGTGGACAGGGCAACAGGTCTGTTGGGCTACTGGCCCTCCTGAAGACACCAACCACAAGGCCTTTAGGTCCGAGATCACTTCAGAGGAGAGGCGCCAGCAGAAACCCACCCTCCCCACAGCCCGCGAGGGCAGAGATATTAACACACCGCGGACAAGAATCTGCTTTCCACAGGCTTAAGGACACCAGAGCCAGAGAGAGCCAGTGCAAGGGAGTGGGGCTCCCCCAAAAGCTCCCCAGCCCTGGTGAGAGGAAGTGCCAGCTCTTTCCAGCACTCTGCACATCGCGATGGGACTCGGAGCCAAAATCATCATGCCAAGCCGGCGTCCTTACCCTGAGCAGCAGCCGTGTTGTCCCTGCTGGCAGGCATCACCTCCGACTCCCCATCTCTCTCTGCATGGCCCTCCTTTAGGGACTCCACGGGGGGGATCTTATCCGCAGTCACCACTTTCAGCGCCCCGTATTCATTTATCCGAAACTGGGTGATTAACGCACACAGACGGGAAGGAAGACAAAAGCTGGCGAGTGTGTCACAGGTCTCCCTTTGGGCCCACCCACAGGGGACATAAGGCTGGTACAGATGGCAGCACTAGAGTTGTGATGTCTCCTGACACTGACCCATGGCACAACCTGGGGAAGGCTTTTCTCTGGAGGGCAACAGGGAGGAGAGGGGCCAGGGTTTGGTTGGAGCCTGATGCTGCATGTGCTGTCCTGAGGCTGAGATAGCCTGAAGGAGGCAGGGTGCTGGCTGAGGTAGTGCAAGGGTTATAGTAACAGTCTGCCCCTGCAGCTGTGCATTGCACATGGATCACCAGCGCTACATAAGAACGTAATGGCCAGACTGGGTCAGACCAGAGGTCCATCCAGCCCAGTATCCTGTCTGCCGACAGCATCCAATGCCAGGTGCCCCAGAGGGAGTGAACAGAACAGGGAATCGTCATGTGATCCCTCCCCTGTCACCCATTCCCAGACCCTGACAAACAGAGGCAGGGGCACCATTCCTACCCATCCTGGCTAATAAGCATTCATGGACCTATCCTCCATTAATTTATCTAGTTCGTTTTTTAACCCGGTTAAAGTCCTGGTCTGCACAACATCCTCTGGCAAGGAGTTCCCCAGGTTGACTGTGCACTGCATGAAGGAAAACTTCCTTTTGTTTGTTTTAAACCTGCTACCTATTCATTTCATCTGGTGACCCCGAGTTCTTGTGTTATGGAAACAAGTAAATAACAAGCAGCCCCACTGGGCACTAAGTGTAAGCACAGTTGTGAGGGCCAGCGTTTCACAGATGGGTGCCAGGATTTGGCTTGCAAACGTTGCATGCGCCAACACCACGACTATGTTCCGAAATGACACTGCAGAGTCAGCGACGTCTGCTCCCTCAGCGTGTGCAGCTCCCACCCCTTTGTGGGCAGACCTGCAGCATCCATCCCAAAGTGACCTGGGATTTAACAGGCTGCCTCAGTTTCGCTGCTAATGAGAAACAAGCTCAGAAGGTGGGATCCTAGCTTGGGACGGGTCCAGAGGGCAGAAGCCCAGGAAGGGCCCAGAGAAGCGCTTACTGCCCTCGTAGGAAAGCAGCGGCACAACCTGCCAGTTCAGGGGCCCGCCTTCACCACACTTACCCTTAGGTTGCTGCCAGGCAGAGTGGCCACCCCATCTTTCCACTCCAGCACCCGGACGGTGTTGCAGGTCGGTACCCCGCTGATCTGAGGGATGACGGTTGCTGTGATTGGCTCATTCCCTGGACCCCTCTCCAGTCTCTCGGCCCCTGCATTTCTCTGCGGCTCCCGGGGAAATCGCTGGATCTCTAAGGTGCTGGCAGGGAGGCTGATGGTGGTTGCATTTGCTTGAGAGGGGACAAAAAATAAAGAGAGACAATGTTTCACATACACAAAGCCGGCAGGGAAGCAGCCAATGCAGCACAAAGGGGGTGCGAGATGCCAGGCACAGGGTCTGCGCACTCACTGTTCTCACACCCACTTGCAGGTTTACACCATGGGTTTCCTTACAAGAGCTACATCTACACTGCAGAGTTTTTGTGCAAAAACTCCCGGAGCATCCACACTACATGCGCATATTTACGCAAGAAAAAGTACAGTAGATCGTCAGAAGACAGGACTTTTTGCACAAAAGTTATTCCTCTTTCTACGAGGAATAAGCCTTTTTGCACAAGAGCTCTTGCACAAAAAGGCATGTGTGAACAGACACCAGGGGTTTTTTGCACAAGAAACCTCTATCGGAAAAAGCACAGGTGCTCTGATGGCCATTCTCTGATGGCAGTGTGGACACTCTCTTGTGCAAGATCTCTTCCGCAAAAAGTTCTTGTGCAAGAAGTCTGCCTGTCAATCCACCAGGCCTGGCCTGCCTTGCAGCAGCGACTTGCTCTGTGTCTTGCAGAGCCAAGCCCCAGTTCTGAGCTCAACACCCTGCTTGGGGCAGGCGGGGGAGAGCTACATGCCAGCTCTGCAGCCTCCTAGTGAATTCTGAGGGGACACAGGTCAGAAGCAGAGCAGAGAGGACTGAGGCCAGTGGGGAGGTGAGGGGCTGAGCACTGAACTGATTGTTGGGTTCCAATTAGGAACAACTACAGGAATAACAGAGCTGATTCTCCATTACACTAATGCCCCTTTGCACCACTCTGGGCCCTAACGCAGGTACCAGCCCCAGCTCCGTTCATTTAAAGGCGAGTGGAGTGTAAAGGGCCCCAGTGCAAATGAGAATATTTTAAACTTCACCTACACTAGTCAGAGCAGTTGGAGGAGCACCCGTCCTCTGCCCCTCCAGCCCCCAGTCTGCTCCGCACCCGGGGACTGCCACGGCTAGGTCTGACGGAACAGCTACCTGGCACCACTGCCTGGGAACAGCAAACTAGTGGAAAAAACGGCAACTGCTCCTCCCAGACAGAGTCTGGTCACAGCAGCCCAGGGCTTGGTTCCTTCACAGCTGAACTGCAGCAATAGGAGCTGCCACAGGCCAGATTCCCTGCTCTGCTCAGAGGGTGGGAAGTGGCCTTCTTCTGGCTGGAGGCGGCCAGCGGCGAATCCCTCCTCAACCAGCCAGCGTAAAGCTGGCACGAGCGGTGCAGCTACCTCCAGCGAAAGGGGATGGCGACATGGAACCATAGAACTGGAAGGGACTCTAGAGATTATCTAATCCAGGCCCCTGCACTGACACGGGCGTAAGTATTCTCCAGACTACCCGTGACAGAGACCCCACAGACCTCCCTGGCCAATCTGTTCCCGTGTGTCACCACCCTGACAGGAAGTTTTCCTCGTGTGCAGCCTAAACCTCCCTTGCTGCAATTTACGTCCACTAGTTCTTGTGCTTTCTTCAGCGGATCAAGAGCACAGATTAGCACCCTCTTCTGTATAGCAGCCATTCACACCGGCATGGGCAATCATTCTTTGCCAGGGGCCACTTCAGAAATGTTTGAAGTGGCCCCAGTCTGCACCGGAAGGGGCAGGGCCTCAAGCAGAAGGGGTGAGGCCAGGACATTTCCCTGCTTTTCCACACACAGACTGGTCTGGGGTGGGGGAGCATGTGAAGTCAGGCCAGGACATTTGCCTGCTTTCCTACACAGACTGGTCTGGGGTGGGGGAGCATGTGAAGTCTTTGCCCCTCCCACAGGTTCCCCCGAGGTGCTCATGCCCCCGTCAGTGGGAGGAGACTTTGCGTGCTCTCCCTTCTGCCTCCAGGCCAATCAGACCTTGGGGGCGGGGGAGCACATGAAGGCCCCTCCCACCCTGCCAAGAGCCCATGGCGCCTCTAAGCACCGCACACTCCTTGCAGGGCGGAGGCAGGGCAGAGGAAACTTTGCACACTTCCCCCCGCCCCCAGTTGGCCAATCAGTTCTTGGGGGCGGGGGAGCACGCAAAGTCTCCTCCCACCCTGCCAGGAGCGTGTGGTATTTCAAAGTGCCGTGCACTCCTTGCAGGGCAGGGGCAGGGCGGAGGAAACTTCACGCACTCCCCTCGCCCATAGGCCAATCAGGGCTTGGGAGCGAGGGAGCATGTGAAGTCTCTTCCAGCCCTGCCAGCGCAGGGCACTCCTGGCAGGGTGGAGAAAACTTGGTGCGCTTCCCCCACCCCCAGGCCCTAATTGGCCTGGGGGCAGGGGTGTGGCAGGGCCTCTGCGGGCTGGATCAACCCACTTGGCGGGCCGGATGACGCCCTTTTGCCCCCCCCGATTTACATACTTGAAGACTGTTATGTCCCCCTCAGTGGTCCTTGCTCTATAATAAAGAAACATGTTTTCAATCTTTCCTCATGGGTCACGTTTTCTAGACTTTTCATAATTTTTGTTGTGGTGGTCTAGATTTTTTTTCCAATTTGTCTATTTTTTCCCCCCAAAACATGATGGCCAGAACTAAGCGCAATACTCCAGCTGAGGCCTAATCAGCGCAGAGTAGAGCAGAAGAATTCCTTCTCGCGTCTTGCTCACAACTCTCCCGTTAATACAGCCCAGAACGACGGTCGCTTTCTTTGCAACAGCGTCAACAGCATTGACTCATATTTAGCTTGTGTTCCATTATGCGCCCCAGATCTCCTTCTGCAGTACTCCTTCCTAAGCAGTCACTTCCCATTCTGTGTAAGTCCCTGGTCCTCCTCTTCAGATCCCTCATCAGGCTACATGCCAGCCTCCTACTGGAAAACCTCACCCAGCAGGCCCGCCATCAGGGGAGGGGGAGAGGGAAGGGGCAATTGCTTAGGGTTCCCAGCTACTGCTGCTGCTACTGCAGGAGCAGCGGTGGCGAGAGCCCCAGACCCTTGAAATTGCTGTGGATCTGCCGCGCCATGTGCTCTGGGAGGCTCTGAGGGTTGGGGGGCTGGCGTTGCGCTCCAGGTAGCACTGAACACTGGCTGCCCTGGCCCTGCCCCTTCTGGGAGCACAGAGCCACCCCCTTGCCCAGGGGCACACAGAGGCTGTCAGCTCCCCTGACACCCAGTCTTTCTGCTCCATCCAGCGCACTGCAATCAACAGGCATTGTGCTGCTGCCTGGCCCAGGACGGACAGGCAAGGATGGGCACAGCTGCCGATTGTCCCGACTTGCCAGTGGCTGTGGAAACCATGCTGGGTTATCCCCACCAGAGGCTAGTTTTCATCCACTTCACCATTGGGAACTGTGCTGGGCCCCACTTTGATGCAGGAGTCCTGGTAAAGCACCAACTCCCCACTGGCCAGGAATGTCTCCAAAGTAGCACAAGTCCCAGAGACAGAGAAACCCCAAGGAAACCCCTCCAAACCCTTCACAGCAGGGGTCACTCTCAGGCTTGTGCTGCCCAGCTGGATGCAGGAAGGCGGGAGAGGAAGTGAAAGAGAAAGGAAGAAGGGGACAGAAGTGGGAGGTAAAGAGGAGGGAGAGAGGGGGTGAAGCAGGTGTGGGGGAGGCTATGTACTAGGGAACTGGGCTTTAGAGTGAGGTGCACCCATACCCAAGAGTTCTGATCTCTGTGGTAGACCAGACAGTGAAACCTAAGGTGTTGTTACCCTACCAGGCCCCTGAAATGAGGGGGCAGGCATGGCCTCAGCTTCCCTGCCTTGCAGCGTAGCCATTGGACATGTGCCCATCCCAGCCACCAGCCCTGCTGCAGGTCCCATGTCTTTTGCTATGCAAATATTTGCTACAATAACAGGATTGTAAAATGCAAGTTGCCTTCTCCTCGGGTGGCTGGGTCACATGGAAGATAACAATCTACTGCTGCTGTCTAATTTGGGCTCTCTTGAGGCTCAAGTGGTAGAGATCTGTACTACAGTGCCAGTGGGTCCTGCTGACTATCCCAGAAGAGTGAGAAGGGCTGACTCCATAAATAGAAGAAACATTTCAAGATATTTGGAGAAAGGAAGATTCCATGGTTATGGCACTGGTCTACATCTTGGGAGACCTGAATTCAAGACACAGCTCCGCCACAGACTTCCTGTGTGGCCTTGGACATGCCATTTAGTCTCTAGGGCCATAGTTTCCTCTCTGTGTAATGAGAATAATGGCAGTGCCCTGCCTCTCATGACTGCTGGGAGGATAAACACACCCACGACTGTGAGGCGCTCCGATACCAGGGGAACAGAGGCTGTCTAGCTTACCACAGATCAATACTCAACTGCCAGCGTGAGGAACACCTACCTGGGATGATGAAGGCAGTCGCGGGCAGGTGAGCGTTCTGCACTGTGTTCTCATTGGTGACCAGATGGACGCTGACCTCCCCAGCGGCATTCCCCTGGGTGCTTCTCAGGACCTCCATTTCCCCTCGGCCATCCATCACCTCGCAACAAAGGAGCAAAGACAGAAGCAGCTGCAACACCAGTCCCGGCAGGAATCAGTCTGAAGAACCGCGTAAGAGCACTGACTATGGCTGCCTTGTAGCGCCATGAGTCCCACCCCTCCCCTGCAGGAGTAGCTGCTGGGGAGTTCACAAACAACAGCATGAAAGTTCTGGCTTTTGCTCAACCATCACTCAATATATTGTAGCCAAGGTCCCACTGTCAGACCAGGAGAGGACATGGATCTTCCTGGCATTAGGGACTTTTTTTAATTGAACAGCTTGATTCTTTTAAGTCACATTCTCGTGAGTGGTTAGAAAGGTTTGCTACAATCCCTGATTTAAACCAGGGTACACAAAGGGTCTCCAGTCCTGGGAGAGAGGCCAGGGTTTCAGTTTCTGACCATTCTAGCCAGATCAAGCTTATTTGAAGAATTTCAGATGCATGACAGGGAGGGCAATATTAGCCAAATGCTCTATGCCAGTCAGGAGATAATAGGCTAGGAGAAGGGGGAGGATAAACCAATGACAGTGTAGCTGAAGAATGTTCTTATTCAAGTGAAAAGTGCAATGGAAATGCGAAGATACAATAGTAAAGAGCGGGAATAATATAAGGAAATATATATGTGCAACAAGTCATATCTAGAAAGCATGAATTCTGCAGAGCCTACCTCTGTGTGAAACAGACAAGGTGAGCAGTGACATTTTCTGTTAACTAAGGCCTTGTCTACCTTACAAAGGGTTTGCCAGTATAACTATACTGATGTAGCAATACCAGAAAAAAAACCCTAATGTAGATAAAGCTTGTACCAGCGGCAAAAGAATTATTTTGCTTGTATAGCTTAAACCAATTTCCAGAATAGGTGAGGTAACACAGCGTCCACACTAATACTACATCAGTAAAACAGTGCCAGCAGACAGCATGTGTCATTCAGGGAGGTGGTTTTCAGCCACCAAGAGGAAGGATTTTATCAACAGAATTCCAGATTGAGTGTGGACACATGCAGAGATATTCCAAAACCAGGCTTGGTTACTGGTAACGCTTTCTAGGACAGAGCAGGCCTGAAAAGGACTTTTCTGCTAGTATAACTATGTCTACCCTAGGAATCATAGAACACTAGAACCAAACACGTGATGTATCCTGGCAAATCCATGGTTATGAAAATTGGATGAGTAAATTTTCTGCACACTCTTAACCAATTCAGCTACTGCCAGTGAAAGTCACTAGTATAGACCAGACTTACGATGGAAAAAAATAACCCTATCCGCTGTCCAGAACATGTACATATATACTGTCCAACAAGCTTGGGCTTGAAATTACATGAAGGTTTCTAACCATCAGAGGAGTCAAGCTCTAGAGCAGTCTCCCAAGCAGAGCAGTGGGCCAACAATCCTAACTGGTTTCAAGACTGAACTTGCTAGGTTTATGGAGGAGATGGTCTGTCAGGGCTGCCTATCATGGCAAGTGATCCATCAGCAACTGCTTGGAGCAAAAATCCCCAGTGGCTGGAGACAGGACACTACATGGGGAGAACTCTGAGTTACTATGGAGAATTCTTTCCCAGTATCTGGCTGGTGGGTCTCGCCCAGGGTCTAATGGATCACTATATTTGGGAACAAGAATGAATTCAGATTGGCAGAGACCCTGATAGTGGGTTTCCCTTCCTCTGTGGCATGGGTTATGGGTCACTTGCAGGTTTAAATTAGTGTCAATGGGGAATTGTCTGTAACTTCAAGTCTTTAAACCACAATGTGAGGACTTCGCTATCTCAGCCAGTGACCAGGGTCTATTACAGGAATGGCTGGATGAGGTTCTGTGCCTGCAAGATGCAGGAAGTCAAACTAGATGATCACAATGGTCCTTTTTGGTTTCAGTAAACATATCCAAGAACAGACACTATAATTTTAAACTAATCAGTGTCCCATAAGTGGGTCTAATATTTTCTTTTCTTTCCTGACATAGGAATTAGATACAGTGCTCCTGTCAGATAATTTCTACGTAATCATCTGCAAAAACATTAGAGCTTTCAGTTGCCTAAGTAGTCCCAGGAGTCCTGGTTGAAATTTCCTCACTCCACTACACTCCCAAATCTGAAATGGCAACTATGTGGGCAGGCATGAAATTTGCCTCCTCCTCCTCCCACACCACACACCCAGCCTTGTTAGCCTGACTGGAGCTGCCCTCCCCCATAAAGGAGTCTAACTATTACTATGGTATTGGTATTATCATAAGACAAATAGTATAGCCTGACAGGCTGCAATGGGAATGGCTGGCCTGCTGCATGCCGTGTGTTTTGCCCTAAACAAATCATGTTGATTTTGAATAGGAACTCTCACAGTTAAGATTTCTTTCACTTTTAGATGCATAATAAATAATAATAATAATTTAGATAATTAATAATAATAAAATAATAATAATAAAATAATAATAATAATTATTAGTCCTCTTCACTCCTAATGGAGCATAAGACACCAACGAATCTTCTCCAGCCTTCACAGTCCTGAGAAAGCTGGCTGACTACTTCCCAGGTCATGCCCTTCCTTTTCATGTCCTCCTCCACAGTCCTCCTCCAGGTGCTCAATGGCCTCCCTCTTTTACACTTTCCAGGTGGAGTCCATCTGAGTGCCATTTGAGGGAGTCTTGTTTCGCTCATCAGAAGGACATGCCCCAGCCATCTCCAGCGTCTCTGCTTGATCTCGTCCACAACATTGTTGATGCCAGTGCGTTGGCTTATCTCCTTGTTGGTAACATGCTATTCCCAGTGGATTCTGAGGATACGATGAAGGAACCGTCCTTCAAAGCCTCTGAGTCTGCTCTCAATCTTCTTGTTAGTCCTCCAAGTCTCTATGGCATACAGCAGGACTGAGCGCACATTCGACCTATAGATCTTCAGTTTAGTCCTGGTCTGCAACAGTGACGACTTCCAAATGTTATTAAGCTTTTAGAAGGCTTGCGATGCCAGGGCAATTCTAGCAGAGATCTCTTTGTCGATGTTGCTGTCCACTGAGATACCTGAAGTCATTTACTTCCTCTAACTCTTCACCCATGACGGTGGTTTTATCGGTGTTAGTTGTCCTCAGTTTCATCACTTTGGACTTGCCAGGGTGAATTCTGAGCCCAACGCTTCTGGCTGTCCAGTCAACAATGTTGGTCTTTTCTTGGATGTCCTGCTGATCATGCGTGAGAAGCGCCAGGTCATCTGCGAAGTCGCAGTCCTCAAGCCGAGCAGTCAGTCCCCACAATAATAATAATTATCATTCTCCAAAAAATCATTAAAGTTCATTTTGTATTAGTCCCCTGTGTTACAACAATGACATTAGCAACAGAAGATATGACAGTCAGGACATGTGGAGTGAAAGTTTTGTCAACCACCATCCCAACTATCGTTTCCCCGCAACAGTCACTTGACAGGGACATGGAAATTAACGTGCAGCTAAACCATGAGATCACACAAAGCTCAGGTGACACTCAATACCTTCCTAGATGTGAGAGCTTGTAAAATCCAGGAGGACAACACAGGCTAGAAGACAAAGACAATTCCCACTTTACAGAGGGCCATTACAGACAAATTTGTAGAACTGGGGTTTACTTGCCTAACAGTCAGTGTGCCCAACTCTCACAATTTTATCTCAAGACTTTCAGTATCTGGTGGGGTGTGTAAAGCCCCAGCTAATGGAGTCATGTGATAATCTCAGCTTTCATTTAAAAAGAAAAGTTTCCAGCAGTAGTGGGTGGAGAAAAGTTGGAAAACCATGAACCCAAAAGGCTACAAAAATCCTGTGTTTACTTATTTTTAAAAGTTTCTTGATTTTTACATGCTTGCGAAAGTCCTAGTAATGCAGCTGTACTGCTAGCTGTATCTCTTCATTTCACTCCCAGGACTGTAGAAGAGTTCTCCATGCTCACGTCACTGTCCTGCTGACTGCAGGCTGAGGAGAGAGGTGCTGCAGGCTTGTTTCTGGGGTGTGGGATTTAATCTAATTTGGAGGGGTGGGGAAGGTGGATATTGTGGAGTACACAGCCTGAACACAGAAGGGAGCGGGAGCAGACAGGTTGCTCAGGCTGACAGTGCAAGGTGAATGGAAAGAGGGTTTTGCTCTGCTGCATAAATGGTGAATTCTGTCACAAATGGTCGGGAAAGATGGACGTAGGGCTGTTACAACACCAGTGGGAGATAGCACCTGGAACCAGCTGTATCTTTCAAGAAGGGAGGATCTGCAGTCTCTGCTGGAAATACATAGGAGGTTATGCCAGGGCTGCAAGAGATTGCCAGGACAATTCCACCCATAGCCATCACTTTGCATTTTGGTGCCTGCTTCAAGGGGGCTAGAGGACGACCTATTGTACATGAAAGCTGAGATTAGCACAGATGTGCAGTGGGAGATCATCCAAATTCATCAGCTAAGGTCCCACTTCAGCAAGGTAGTTAAATAGCTGCTTAGCGTCACCAATACATCTCTATTACCAATACTTGCGATTTTATTGCCAGTCCCATGCTGTCTGGGGCTTTTCTCAGAGACCAGGCTCCATATGAGAATCTCAACTCAGCTTTCGTTTTTAAAAAAGGGCACTTCTGACCTCATGAATGTGAAGAAAACGTGACTCCTAAAGACCTGAGGGACAAATATAAAGAACCCAGCCATTTTTTTTAATAATCACATGATTTAGGGACTTAAATCATGATTTTTGGGCATGTGGGATTGACATTCCTTTAACAATATGAGTAGAAGCACTGATTTCAATGGGGTGACTCATGCTTAAAGTTAGACACCTACAAGTCACTTTCTGGTTCAAGGACTTAGTGTAGACTTGGCTGATTTGTTTCTGTTCAGTGTTTCATAGCAAATAGCTCTCTGGTCAATCACACAACCTTCTCCACCCCAAGCTCAACTGAAGCACACATGTTTGGGGTGAAATCATGGAAGTGTAGGTTTGGAAGGGACCTTGAGAGACCATCTAATCCAGTCCCCTGCACTCATGGCAGGACCAACTGCAGGATCAAA